GAAAAATGAGTTAAAGGAACTTTTATGATCAGTTTAAAGTAACATTTCATGTATCAACTTTCTCCTGGACAATAAGAAACACATTGTATGAATTCACATACAGAAAAACTAATGAATCTTTTTTTTTTTCATCAAGGGCAAAACCTTGATGAAGACAGGTTCACCTATCAAAGAAATAGTTTTATCAGTTTTTCTTAACGTAAAGTATAAACCCTACTATTATTGTGTTTGTAGGAAGCAAGTACTTTCTTATAAATACACCTTACTTACGAATAAAGTCGATTTATTAATACATCTGTAAAACAGTTTATTTTGTTACTTCTATATTATTCTGTTTGACAATTAGCAGATAGTTTGGCTGTTATCAGCTATGGACACAAGCAGTTTATAATCAATATATAGGTTATATTTGTTTTGAAGTACTTTTGATAATCAGTATAAAAAAAGAAAGAACATATTGAAAAAACACTAAAATGTTTTAATAGATGTTGAGTTTTAATTAATTGTTGATTAATAGCTTCATATATCTGAATATATAGTTATTTGTCATTTAGTTTTCCTCTCAAAAACAGATACATCCATATACAGGTAGAGGAAGTATCATAAACAGATATTATTATTTTAAACACGGAGTAGAAACATATTTGGTTTATTCTAGATGACCAACAATAATGGTAATTAACAATGTTGTTATCATATTCTTCCGGGACTGGCATACGTTTGTGGTTAGGACACTTGACTCACAATTTGTTTGTGGCGGGGTCGAATCCTGTCACCCACCATGATCGCAATTACAGCTGTGAGGTGGGGTGAAGTGTTGTTTTGTTTACAATTTTATACGGCCGACGTGTTCTAATATGCATAGGTGTGCAAATGTATTTCTGTTTCTCCAATATATATATGCACAAAAACTACATTTAAGTCGGTAACTCAAGCTTTTAATGGGTATGCACCATTAGCTATGCATAGCAAATATTTTTACCACATAGTGTTGATGTTATAGCCGTATGTACCAAAAATCATAAATTATTTCAGTATTCTTCCAAATTTTTTAATTATTTTGGTCGATAGATTGGAATTTATTAAGCATTTGTGAACTTTTGGCTGTGACAGTGATGTTGATGAATGAAATAGTCAATGTAGTTATTCACTATTATTTGAAAACTACATTCTTTATACAGTCTCTTAGAGTTTTTTTTTTTTCAGGAAGAAGAAGAATGTGTAATAAGACTTCAAACACATTATGTCTACCTTATGACAAATATAATCAATTATGATTATGCTTCTTCAGCTTAGAAATAACATTCTCATGTTAGCAAATGTAATTGTTAGTTTTGTGGGATTTTTTAACATACCGAACGACAACATTGTAATGTCTCTGCAGCATACACAGTACACAAGCAGAACAGAAACACAAACAGCTTTCAATAAGAATGCCACAGATATATCGTTAAACCACGTCGGTTGTTGCAATTAGCTACTTGTATTCAAAGTAATCCTAACACAATTTATATAATTTTCTTCAAACACTTCTGCTCGATTTTATTGACTCAAAATTTTATTAACTGTCAATCGAAAAGATACTAGAAGAAAGAATTATTATTAACTTTATAATATAAACAAATCTGTCAGCATCACCACTAAACACTGAACAAATTTATCTTTAAAAAAATCATTTTTTTTATGTCTCAAATGACAAAAAGACCATCGCAAGATAAACCAAACGTAACTATTGGAAGTGTCGATATTCAATACAATGCTTTATCTCTCCTTGCCAAACGTCACTCGAGAACCTCACATCATTACAGAAAACAATTTATAATATTTACTGAAAATGGTCATAGAAGCCTAATTCAGAAATGCCAAGAGGTGACAGATCACACTGTCAGCAAAACAACCACTAAGAAATCTTCACTTTCACATCAGGATGTTACAGAAGAACCCACACCAGAGCCAACAAAATCCATCACATCCTCTTAATATCAAAATCAGAAACCACCCATTTGATTGAATAAATTATCAACCTCCTAAAGGTCAACCATTTCAGAACAGAAAAAAAAAACATTTCTACATCACCAAATAGAAGAATCTTACCCAGCTACAAAACTTTCCAAGGAAAAGAAGACCTTTAAAGATTCTCTAAAGTTGATGCAGAACAACAACAATTTAATTATAAAAGTCAGATAAGGAAGATATTCTGTAATAATCTTACAAAAATAAAATGAAAAAGGAAACATAAGTCAAAGATTTACTAAAACAAAAAGAAAAATTGTTTAGTAGGAAGATCACAAAGAACACTCAAGCCAACTCTAAGCTGTATCTCAGAATTATATAGGATACATAAAGATGACAAACCAATTTACCAATAACATTATAGCGTCTTGTTATGCTATGCAACATTATCTTGGTTAGAACACAGCTGAAAATTCAGTTTAATAGAACATTGGATGTTATTTACTTTACAGTTGTCGTCCTGTACTCATACATTTCTTTTCACACTTAGGGATAATTTATACAAACAAAAGAAAGGAGTGGTAATGGCGAACAGGATATCGTTGTATCTAGAAACAAAAGCTCTCAAGACGCAGACACACAAAGCAGATCTACCAGCAGTAAGGTATGCATAACTTGACAACAGTTTTTGCATCTGGAACAATGAACTCGAATGCCTTCAAAAATTTCATTATTTCTTTGCCACATATTACTCTTCAAGTAAGTTTACCCAGAATATGAAGAAACAGAGAGAAAATTACTTGTCTTAGATGTTGCCTTAACAATCAACAATGAACTAATATATATAGTTACACGTATAAAAAATTGTCCAATAAACCCGTCTTCCTTCACTATACCTCACATCATTCCGACTATCTCAAAAGGGCACTTACTAATAATAAGTGAGGTAAAGAAAATACGCATAAAATCAAAGATAAGTCTGAATTTCAAAATAATGGAAACTATACAAGAAGAGAGTTCATCTTAAAGCGACATCGATGGTTGGAAAGTAATACCTTTGCTCAAAGGTGTTAAATGGGTGATAAAATACAATGTTAGAACTAGCCGAAGTAGCCGTCCCTGGACGGAAGTATTTACATTCATGATTAATAAAAGGGTATCTTTGGGCATAAAAACTGCAAAACACAAAATGTGAAATCGCAACTTTGCATATGTCTCTCCATGGATCTAACAACCCTTCATGCCAAATTTGGTGAAGATCTAACAAGAAGGGGCAAAGTAGTGGTAAAAACGTTAAATGCAAAACTAAAAAGTTGTATGTATCTTTCCATGGATCCATTGAACCTCCATACCAAATTTGGTGAAGGTACATATACAGGTGACGAAGTAGTGGTAAAAAACGCTCATAAAAACCGCAAAACGTAGAATACAAAACTGAAAATTCGTATGTACCCTCGCATGGACTTAATGAACCTCCATACCAATTTTGGTGAAGATCCATTCACACTCTGCGAAGTAGTTACATGAACATACAACAGACAGTACAATTATATTTACATAGATAAAAATGTTTTACAATTCTTAATTAAATAATTATTATACTGTAAAATATAGATATTATTATGTGTTTGTTCCCTAGTATTCAATAGCTTTCTATTCTCAGTTTTAATATATAAATAGTAACATGCATTAATGACAGTAGAGAAAAATTATACTTCTATGCAATACATATATACTTGGATAAATTATTTGTGTTCTTTACACGCAAAGCTGCACAATGTACCATCTATAGTGTATCCCCTGTGGGAACCGAGCCCTGAGTTTAGCATTATGTAATACCAAACATTTATTACTGTAACAAAAAGTTCAACTTTTATGCATATACAAGGGCGGATTGGGGGTATAAAACAGCTGAGGAAAATTAGTTTTGTAGTGCTCCAATAATGAAGTCGGGGAGAGGTATTTCTGGAAAAAAAATTGAGCGTGGCGTTGCTGCTTAGCCATTAATATATTGTTTGTTTGTTTGTTTTGAATTTCGCGC